TCTTTTTCTTAATCTCTCTATTATACACTCTGTTCACAGAAGCTTATAAAGCTCTTTCTTTCTGCTTAGCAGTCAGATGTAAATCTCTCTATATCTTGTTATCTTTTTCTAATAAATCTGTTCTCTGTTGTTCTGATTCTTACAGAATCAGTCAATGATTCACTCTTCACAGATCTGTGACTCTCACAGTGATCTGTAAGTAATGAATAAGAGTTATCAGTTTCTTCAGAGTTAAGAACTTAGAGTCTTACTCAATGAGCTTGTTCTGTATATCTTTATTCAATCTTTTTATAAATATTATTATTCAGATCTTGTTTCAGAACTCTGTTTTCACAGATCTCAATTCATATCATAATTCTATAAAGTGCTGTGAGTAGTCTTTATCAGATTTCTCATCTCTTTTTCTAATATTGATAATCACAGCTCAGATGTTCTCTGTTCAGCTTATAAAGTCTCTCAACTTATTCTCTAGATAGGTCTTGAGAACAGATCAGTGAAATCTCTTATAATCATTCTCTAGATAATTCAGCCAGTTCTTGACTTCAGTGTAATAGAGATCTGTTATTATATAGATAACAGCTTCTTCATCTTTCATATCACACAGTCAGACTTGTGAGTCAATTTTAAATACAAACTTGTAAAAGCTTTTATAGATTATAATTCAATAGATGATCTTAAGTAATTGTAACTTAAGAAAGTTTCTTTTCAATTCATAGATATCTCTGAAGATCATGTCTAGAGACTCAGTTCAAAAGTGTTTGCAGATAGTAAGCATTTCTTGTAGAAAAATAGCTTAATTCTGTAGAAGATGCTCAAGAATGTTCTTCACTGAGATTGATTTATTCATGAATTCAGAGAGTTTCTCTGTCTGAGATGCAGAGAATAATGTTCTGTAAGTGATTGATGAGTTCTCTGAGACTTCTTTTATAAGAGTTATTCATGATTTGAGTGACTGCTTCTGAGTGTCTGCAGTAGAGTTTGCAGAGATAAGAGTATATAAGTTTCTAGTTCTTTCAGTCATAATAAGTGATTGCTGACTGACTGAGCTTGAAATGTAAGAATAAGTGCTCACAGATGATTATTCAGGTATTTACAGCTTGATGTGATATGTACTGTTAACTACTAGAAGTGTTTATAATAGAAAGATTAAATATAGAGATTAAATGTATAATAGCATTCAAGCTGAGTTATAAATAGTATTCATGAACTTCAGTCTATATAGTGATGTGTAGCCAAGGGCCGCTAGCTCTATTGATTACACAAGAGATAGAAATAGAGGTAAAGAATCCGCGAGGAGCGGGATTTCTTACAAGAAATCATAGAAGAAGATAACAAGCTTGAGTAAGAAATTAAAGATATTCTTGATAAGAGATCTCACAGTTACAGCTGATAATATCTTATAAAATGAGTTAGTTACAATTATCTGACCTGAACTCTGAGCTTTATATTATCTGAAATAGTAATTCTTAACTGATGAGAACTGCTTCTGAAAAGAGAGAGTTAATATAGTAAGCAATATCTGATTAATTATATAGATTATTTCATTACACTTCACAGATTTCTACTGAATCTCTGATTCTCAGTCACTAATTCTCAGCTGAAAACCTATGAAATTTCTATTCTTTCATCTTAAAGTTTTCTTATGTATATTACTATATATATGTATAAATATTCACTCTGATCACTGATTTCTGCACTTTCTCTTTTCTTTTCTTCTTTAATGTTTTTCACTTTGTTATATAAGATCTATAAATATTATACTGATCTATTCAGTGTAGACCTCTTACAATTATACTTTTTCTAACTCAATGACTAAAATAATCTTTTTAACACTTTCTTTATATTATCTCTATTAAGTTGATTAATCTGATAAATTACTTTTTTTATATCTAATATTTTGAATATCTTCTTTGAACTCATTGTTACAAGTTTTTTAAATTTCAATAACAATTTTATTTTATTATATAATAATGAGAATGATTAAGAAAAAATAAGAAAAACAGAGGAAAAAATAGAAGAAAAAAAGAAAGATAATTAATTGTATTATATATTTACAGATTATTTATTCACATTACTTTCAATTTTCTAATAAAAGATTTTCATCTTCACTTTTACTTTCACTTATTTAACAGTTTTTTTATTATTTTTAATTTTTTTATTCTCTTTTATCTATGTATACTCTTGATTTTACAGTTCTTTATCTTTTATTTATTTATTTATTTTTATAACTCTACTGTGTATATTTTTTTATTTTATAAAAAGACAAGATTGTCTATGATATTCACTTAACTTTTTATTATTTTATTATCTCAAACTCTTTATCTTATTTATATTTATTGTTTTCATTATTTTATTATTTTATTATTTCAATCTTTTCTTTTACTTACTTTTTACACATGAATAATATTAACTTATATCTGAAAAAAGTCTAGTACTTACTCTTTCATTTCTTATTAAATTTAATACTTACAGTATTTAGTAATTTCTATTATTTTCTTTCGATTTTATTTTTCATTCTGTTATCTCATTTTTATGCATCTATCTCTTTTTAAACAGAGAGACTATAACATTTACTTTTACTATTTCTTAAAACTTTTATTTTTTTATTCTTCTGCTTTTTTCTTCTTTCACTTTATTTTTATTTCTCTATTTAAAAGTATATTTATTTACTACTTCTCAGAACTTTTACTTCTTTCTTTTTAAAGCTTCTACTTCTTTCTTTTATAAAGTCAACTATAATAAATAAATAAGTACATAGTTATATATAGACTGGCTGCCGGGACCATGAATTTCACATTTGATTCCATTTGATCTGATCTCATACATTTCTTGGCGTGAATCCCGCTGAGACTGGCTATCAAAAAAACATGTAAAGTGACTATATATCAGATCTTAAAATGGAATCATGACTTGAAAAAAATGAGAAAGTGATCCCATTTGGTCCCATTTAGTCTCATTCTTGGCATAAAGTTACTATTTTTAGACATTTTAAGGTTTTTTTTAGACTATTTTTAATTTTTTAAAAAGTAACGCTTTTTGGTAACACTCAAATGAGATTTAAAGTCATTTAAAGCAATAAAAATAATTTAAATTGAGAAGTGGAAATCATGGTCTCATTTGGAAAATGTGATAAGAGTAGACAGTAAGTTCTACTGAGACAGTATGAGACTACTATCTAATGTTAAAACCGTGTAATGAGATCAGTCAAATTGGTAATGAGACTATCAAAAAATCTGGTCCTGGTCCCAGACACGGTCACACGGTCAGTCTAGTTATATATATATATAGAGATACTCACTCATCTTTATTTTAAAGAAATAAGACAAGATTTACTATTTTACATATATTATATATAGTTAATATATACTGCAATTAATGTAAACTGCAGTACTAGTACTAATAGTGATATTATCAGATTATATAATCTGACTTATCAATTCTTTCATTATATAACTTTCTACAAGCTAGTAATCTTTTTAACTAAGTAAGTTTTACATCTTTTACAAATATTTAAAAACTGAAAGATTTAAATATATAAAAACTTATTTTTTTAAAATTTAATGATTCTAATGAAGTTTTAAGTAATTTATAAAAAAGTTAAATTATTTTTTAAGTTTTATATAAATAGTTTTATTTATCTATTTTATTTTTTTATATAATTTATTATTATTTATATTATAATAATATTATTTATTTAATCTGATTCATTTCTAAACTCAGAAGTAAATATTTTTTACTTATATTCACTCTTGTTTTTATTATTTATTATATTACTTACAGATGTATTCAATAACTCTATAGTATATATTTTTAAAAATATTATAATTTCTTTTCAAGTTAATTCTTTTCCTGCAATCAAAGCTTTTAAAAGAGTAACTTTTTATCAGAATTCATCTGTAGTTCAGTAATACAACTTACAAGACATTTTTTATCTCAGATAAATGAAAAAGTAGTAGTAGTAGAAGGTTAAAAAAAAACAAGCAATTCAGGCCATAACCTGTTGAATGTCTGAGTGGTGTATTGATTGCTATTCAGTATGAGCTATATGCTTAGTAAGGGGCGCTAGGCCGTACTAGGTTGCTTGTTTGGGTCAGAGCTTGGCGCGTTTGAAGGGGCTATTGACAGCTTGTTTTTGCCTTCCTTGCTCAAAGGATTCGGCTGGCTTGGAAAAGGTCGAAAAAACAGCGATCACGGACTTAACCCATGACGGCGCGCGTGGATTGGCCCCCATCTTCAAGGTGCAGAGCGGTCATTTCGTCTAATATCCGCTGGCATTGGAAGTAAAAGACCTTATTGATAGGGGAACAGGCGGGGAAAGAACCGGCGGCTCATTCACTGATGATTTAGCCCATTTTATTGGGCTACGAGGTTGCACTTCAAAGTGTTAAGTGTACTTTTATGGAAGAAGCAAAAGTTCGATGGGATGGATGGAGAGCTTGTGGGCGAAATCATGAATTCCGTCTTGTTTTCAAGTTAAGCTCCACTCAGTCCATCAGTGGCCCCCCGTTAAGCACGGGACGAAGATGAAGGCTAAATAAAAGAACTTGGTGGCATCCCAAGGTCCAACCCCTTGCAGCTTATCCTATCCGGAGTCCGGAGTTGGGTAGGCATGCGGTACCTACCTTATCTTCCCGCGTGCACCGCAACTGCTCCTCAGCGGTTCTTGGCCATTACTCTGTACAGAGTATGCTGACTTGCAATTCCACTGTGGGAAGGAAGGATGGGAAGGTGGAATTGGTCTCAACGATCGCCACAGACATCTTGTGGAGGCGTGGTTCCCGCCTCTACGGAGTATATCACTCTCATTATTGGTTCATAGGCGTGGCCTTTGGCAGGAGGGGACTGGGCATAGCTCGCACACTACTGCAATATCTTACTCATATTTCGTCACAGACCCATGGATGCAACCCTCTCCGGGAGGCTTATTACTGAAATGAGCTCAATATTTTGTGCTATCAGTTATGAAGTGATGTTGCAGCTCAGAAATCTCCCAAGCTTGTGTTGACTTGTCAAAGGAACTTGTCCATCCCACTAAACAACAACAACAACAACAACAACAACAACAACAACAACAACAAAAACAACATACAGCACCAATGTGCTAATACTTAATATTTGGGTTCAAGGCCAGTTAGGAAGCGATGCATTGTCAGTGTTGGCCCCCAACAGATGGCTTGGCCTGAATCCTTCCAAAGGTATTATTTCAAACGGGGACCTTTGAGGCTAAAGTGAGACTGGTATCATACTATCATCGTAGCCTCCATCGCGACCTCACTTTGCGGAGGAACCAAGCACACCACCGGGTGTGTCAACAAGGGCCATGCTTCTAGAAGCAAGTCCCCCTTCCCTTGGCAGGGAAATTCCCTGTTGGTCAGAATTGCAACCAATCTCATCCAAATTTGGGGTTCCAGAGAGCAGAATCATTGATTTGTTGTTTGTTGTGCACCTTTTTTCGACAGCATTTTCATAGAACGACGTATTACCTATCCATATTTGTTTCGAAAGGAAATCTTTGATCAATTTTGGTGGCAATAAATTCATACTTCGGAGAATCAGGGTGGAGCAAACAAAAAGACGAAAGAAAAGGAAAAAAGGCTGGTTCAAAGGACGTTTAAAAAGTCTCCGAAGCTAAGATTAGTCTAACAGGGAAGGAAGCAGGAAGACGATTTCAATCGGCTTGATGCCGCTGCTGCGTCCCACTTTTTGATATTCCTTTGCAGTATTTTCTCCTCGCCATGGTCGTGTACTCTACGCTGTAGTTGTCAGAAATGGAGGCCGCGGGATTGCATGATTTCACTTATTTCATGGGTGGAATGAGCTTCAAACTATCTCCAACTTTGCGGGCCATTCCGGGATGAAACCAATGACCACGTACATGTACATATGTAACGAGTGGAGTGTCATGGATTATTGCGCATCTCTAACTGGCAGATGCAGCCAGCCCCATCGTATCTGATGCTATAAATATGCCACAGTGGCTATCCAAGGAGTCATGAGGAGTTTCATTTTTCTCGTTGTCACTCATCCTACCGTGTTTATTCAAGGCGCGCAGCTTTACAATTCCAGCTACCGACTCTGAGTGTAATTAACTAGTTTTTATATCTATCTTGGTACGGTACAGATATCGCAGAGTCACTTAGCTACGTACACTTGAATGAGCCCACGCCCCCCCGCCATGCAAGAAATGCCAAGAGAAGCTCCCTCCTTTCTGCGACATCGATCATCAGCATGTTTAACCATAATAATTAGCTTGCCGTGGCTGGTGCCAAAATTACAAAAACCCATGCCACCAGAAACATAGCAGCTCAGGTACTTGGTTTAGTTTCTTGAGTATCTTCTTCCATGGTAAAAATGCAGGCATGGCGTCGTTAGGATCATTATATTTCAGAGAAGCAAGACGCGGTTGAACTCTTATCTAATCCGATGGACGAGAGTGTTACAGGCGCCCCTACATCTGTGTATATTCTGAAACTCTTCTGACATGCAATGGAAAAATAAATAAAAGGTAGGAGACACCAAGGAGGCTCCATTTTTCCTAATCTACTTACTGAAAGAGGATAATGCAGAAATTTCTTGAATCATTTGGGGCCCCAAAGAATAATAAGACTAGTAGGAAGCAAAGAAGAATGGGGCTGTGATGAGAAGAATAAACTAAAAATAAGTTAGTTTGAGTATAGACAATAGCATCAAAATAGCATATGGTGTGGAGAACAGGTAAAACGAAGAAATACGAGAATACTAGCTCATGGCAATGAGTAATCGAGCGTCTATTTTCTCACGTTTTTCAACTCAAAAATTCTTCAGCATCCTTCGGTTTTTAAAAGCAAGTCAAAGGAATTACGGGGTATTTACGCCGTAGTGCAGATCAAGACTTGCTTGTCCAACTCTTCTGGACAGGTGTAATTCGGTTCACGCATTTCGTTCTTCAATAATCCCTGCTGAAGACGTTCAGCGGAACGGGAGTCACTGAATTAGTCTCGGTTTTAAGGGAAATAAACCAGAAGAACTCCTCCGGCGGCAGACGGAAACCCAAATCCCCGAACAAACTCGGGTTTAACCAAAAGCGAGCACCCTAGGAAACGGGGAATCCTTTTTGCAAGTTGTGGGTAGTCATTTTTGCATACTCCTCCAAAAATTACTAGCCAAAGACAAAACAACCCCCTTCCCCACTCCCCAGGGCCGGCCTTTGAACTGGTTTAAAAGAAAGTTAAACGAGCGGTGATCTGCCAGTTCTTAAACTTTCAGACGAACCCCCTCAGAAAAGCGTAGCAGAGAACGGCCCTTCATCATCACATTGTTAGTCAGCAGCGGTATGGTGACAAGAGGGCCGGCGGGCTTTAGGTGGAGCTTTCGTTCGTCTTTTTGTGGAGAGATAGACGCGCAACTTTAGCTTGGATGATTGTCCATGCCGGGGCCACGCATGGATGGAGCGCATGCGGTATCAAATGAACAGCGAGTCTGAGCGGGGGCTATCCGGCTTGTGATTCAAGGGTGACCAACCAGAGAAATAGACCTAGAATTTCCAGGATAGGTGAAATAAAGAGTTGGGCTTCGAGCATCAGTCAATTGCGATCAAAACTCGCATAATGAGAAGTGCTTGCGGCGCATCTGGAGTATGTGACCTTGCCGAAGAAAAAGAATGGTCAATCCAAAAACCGTGTTTCGCTCCTGGTGCTGCTCTCTTGCAGGGGGGGCTTTTCACTCCCAAGAGGCTATATTTCACCTGTCAGGAGTTAAGTATGAAGTAGCAGGAAGCTACGCCTCCTATCACAACATCGTCAGTTATGTTGCAAAACGAGAGCCCTGGGCCCCCCGTTTTTGTTCATATCCTCCGTGCATCTAAGGGCGGAAGATAGCAGACAACGAGATGCCCCCTGAAGATTTGATTTGGATAGCTCGTGCACATCAAAAAGGACCTCACGAGTGAACCCAAGATTTTCACCTTTTCCCCGCCGTCCAATGCTAGCCTTGCCTCAAAATCCATCCAATGTTTAACAACAAGCGACCCGCAGTAATTATTGGTCACGTGATTGAATTCGGACCTGCTGGCTTGGTAGCAGCCAAAAGCTCCAGTCCCAGTTGCATATTTTTCTGAGTATTTCGACTTTTGAGTTGATCGTTTCACCCCTTTTTTGAGCTTTCATTTTCCTTACTGGTGGAGGGCTATTACAGTGTATTTTGTGTTTCTTTGTTCTTCTCGTTTGTTTCGTTTATTTTGCAAAAGAGCCGCGTATTTGTTTCTACTGAACAAGTAACGTTATTTCAACCGACTTCCGGCCTATCCTTGAGGGAAGACACCTCCTCGCAACAAGGGTCCATATTATGAAGTTTGAGGATGAAGTTGGGGGTTCCAGTGATTCGATAAGCTACTGTTACACTTCAAGGTGTAGCCGCGCGCCGGAGGGTGGCTTTTGCCATTTGTTGGCTGTCCATGTTGCAGGGGCTCCAAGTCTGTCCAGTCTGTAAATCAACAAGCGCATGTCTCACGGACACTTCCAATATGCTTCGAAAGCCAACCTATGTGTTCTCATTTGAGCACTTTTGCTGACACCTTGCTGGAATTTTGTTAGCATCGTTGCCAATGCTGGCCCTCCTTGCCAGGCTGGTCAGTCAGTCCCGTATCAAAGCTGCCAAACCCCTGCGCTGAGTGCTAGTGGACGATGGTATGGATTTGTCAACTTTAATATGCAGGAAGCCCAACAAGTCAAAACCGTGCCGCGACCCTCTTTGCAGAGGCCTTCATTTGCTTTCGGTTCCTTTAGTTACTGACTTTTCTACCACTTTTTCTTTTTCGCGTGCTGTTTCGTATAGAAATGCAAATGGACCCTGACAATTATCAGACCAATGTATGTCCCCAAATCGAATGCCATGTCAATATTTTAGCGCCCGGATTGCGGTATTTCATTTACTGCGGCGTTCTTCATTCCCTTCCAGACCTCGCTTGGGTGATGGGCTGGGAAAATCCACTTGTGCTTGAGGATTGTCGGCCGGGGAATGCAGGCCTCGAGCCGCGAGGCACAACGTACACCCTGGCCTTCGAATTGTGGTTGGTCTTCAAGAGTCCACTTTTCCTTATCCCAGACCATGATGCCGCAGTGTTTCTGGCAGCTTGCAGCTTGCAGATGGATGGTTTATTCTTTTTTTTGCATGTTTAACGCTCCTCGACCTTGGAGATCTTTTCTGCAAAGCTGATGCGTGTTTGGTCACAAGATACTCTGTATATCAAAAAATAGCCGACCAGGTGGCAGTGCAACCATGGTAATTCCGGGTTCAGCTGCCAACAAAATCGAAAACGAGGCAAGCACCTCTTGGAAGCCCAATGCACAGAATTGGATTTGGCAGGATCCTGCAATGCTAGTATCTTCGGCATCTTAGAATTCCGCCCGTAAATTAGCAAATCTTCAAAATTAGGAGATCCACCAACGCGCCTGTCAGCCAATCCTGACCGCTCTTCTTGAGCAAGCGCTGGCATTCCGCTAGAACGAAGATCGTACATGTCCACTAGTTATCGTTGGCTCGACCTATTTACATTGGCCCACCTCATCACCCTCTAAGGCTTTGACTACGTGACAACTCGCCTGAACGAGCCCTTCGGTGTTTGTGATTAATCCGGGGTTCTAGTTGAACCTGGTTAGAGAAAAGCTGAGCATGGTTAGAAAAGGAAAATCAAAAACTCTACTCATGTCACTCCATGTCAACCACATCTAAAATACATACACACAATAGCTTCTCCGGTCTCAAAACACCAAATACTCAACACATACAGTTATATTAAAGATAAGAATTATAGAGGAGTGGAGTTACTCTCTAGAATACTCAACTGAAAAACAATTTCATCTTTTTTAAATATATCAGTATTGTGTTGTGTGAAGAAATCAGTCTATTAGTGCATGTGTATTTTGGATAGGGTCTTGGTTCTAGACATGATCTGGGTTGATTTTCTAACCATGTTCAACTTTTCTCCAACCACGTTCAACTGGATGCCATGATTAATCTTTTCTCTTTAATGATTTCCTTTAGCGGCATGTTGCAAGGACTCTCTCCAATGAGTATGTAGAGTCCACCTCTCGCCGAGATTATTAGACGGCGCAGATATGCCATACTTTGCGGCACAGCGACCACAAATCCCCGCCTAGCGCACCATAGTTGGATTCTGCTTTACGCTGTAACTGATCGATCAATCCAGGTCTCTGAGTGGTGGGCGATTTTGCGGCATGGGACAGATGTCACGGCACGAAGGACTCATCGTACGCCCGTCCGAATGTTTCAGGGTTTTTTTTTTTTTTTTTTTTTTTTTTTTTCCTCCCCCATAGGCGCATGATACAATTCGACCATTCCTTGTGATTTGAACAACACCCAAATACCCGCCCAACTCAGGCTCCTGGAACCTCTTTTGATGCGAGTCTATCTCAAGGATCTGCCAATTCCTCTGACCTATCCGGGTACTAGCAAACTGTTTGTTATTGTCGGCATGGGGCGCGCGGGCCCAGCCATGAACCATAATATGGCATATCGGGCGAGAGAGGCACTTCATTACTCTCCCTATTTGCCCAAATTTAAAAGAGCAGGGGGGCCTCAAACACGAACCCCCGTCAAGGCGTTGCTCATTGTTCAGCTTGTGGCCAGGTTGTCGATGAGATTTTGCGTCAGTCGCGTTTAGTTTAGAGCTGCTCTGTTATTTTCTTTTTTCTTCTGTTGGCCTTTTCTCCTTTCGCACTGGCTCGCCTGTCTTCAGCCCCGATTACCCGGCCATCCACTCCCATTTTAATGGCGATTCACTTCCTAACCCATAATGTCTCTCTGGGCTAAACCTCATTTCACGAAGCCGAGCTTGTTCTGACGCGCCCATCATCCATTCCTCCACATTCCTTTCTTGCCCTCCCTCCCACTGTCTGATGGACTAGTTTTTTCTCATAGAAGCCAAACAATTGTGTGGAACAAAATGCGGCTAAAGTCAGCGTGCTCCTACATCTAATGCCTGTTCTACCAAGCTTATTCCATATGCATAATGGTATTTCTAGGCCCTCTGCATGTGGGAGGGAATGAAGGATGCATGTTAACCGCTGGATGCTGGACTGAAACTGAACAATCTTGCTGAGCCTCGTTCATTAAGTTACCGAATAAGCATGGTGAGTCGGAGAAAAAAGTACCAAACTACGGACTGTAGTGTGACTGTCATATCTATTTTGCTGTTTCTTTGCTTAACCCGTCTTTTCAGGGCTGGGGTGGAGATGATTCCTAATTTTAACCCTACATTAAGTATCCGTACACACGGTGTGTATACTTGAATAGGACACCTCCGAAACATTGGTTCAGGTCTAGAGCAACCCCCTTCCTATGCTCTGTTCCCCACTGCATCACTCTTTTCCTTCGACCTTTGCACATGACATTTCTCCTGATACATATTTTTGCCCTGAGGCTGCCTGATACTGTACGCTCCTGAGAAACTAATTTCAGAGTCACCATATACTTCATGAACTAGGTTGTTGGGTCTAAACTGATGCGTCGTTCCGAACCCATATCGCCCGCCCCTCATCGTACTTTGAGCGTAGCCATATTGTCAATTGAAGCTTTGTACATCCTGCTAGCAGGACTAGCCCATGTCATTCAACGATATTGTCAATGGCCAATTTTAACACTGAATTTTTTTTCTTCTTCTTGGGCTTCCCCACAACTACGGTACCTTACCATCGCCCCGTTGCTGTAGAAGCTATTCGAGGGTTAAATGCAATGTCAGAGCGTACATTTGGGCTCATCACTGTACATTCTTATCGCACATATAATCATGATTGAAATATAAATGATAACATCGTATTCATTGTAGTTATCCCCGTTAAGATATTTTCGTACCTGATAGGACTGTTTCCCACTTTAGATATGGCATCCAGCGTGGAGGGGCAATTAGGGTTATGACTCACATGACTTTTGCTCCCCGCCTCAAAAAAAAAAGCGAAGGTAATGACAGAACACTCACCAGCGCACATTTAACTGACAAACAGCAATAATTTTTCGCGCAACTTATCTTCTAGGTTATTTTGATACCCAGAGGCGCCATACAACCATGGCAGCCTCCACCGCAGTTCTCGTACATATCGACGAAGATGTTGGCAATGATGACCAGACCGCAACCGGAACTGAGTCTTCCCCTTACAAGACTCTAGTCTATGCTTTCCTCCAACAGCCGCCTTCAACGCCAGATATTCATTATCTGACGCGCAAATCGGTAACACGTCCTATCAATGAAGGTGAAGACCCTTCTGTGCGATTGGAATGGAAGCCCGCGACCAAGTCCGCGCTGAAAAAGGCCACCAACCTCTACGAACAACGAAAGAAGAAAGCTGCAAAGGAGAAGGAGCTAGCTATTCGCGAGAAAGAAGAGTTAGAAAAGCGGAAATTAGTCCTCGAAGAGGCTAAGAAGGTGGTCATCAAGGAAGATGAGTCGCTACCCAAGCCACTCAAGATAAGATTGAACGAGACGGACCCCGCCAAGATCAAGCTGAGACCGAGTGACGGCGATGATACCCCTGGCACCCGCGTTCGTGTAGTCGGACGGGTCCATCGCCTAAGATCGCAAAAGGATATGATGTTTGTGACGCTGTCAGATGGGTATGGACTACTACAATGTATTTTCTCAGGTGATCTGGTCAAGACCTACGACATGATGACTCTGACCCTAGAAACATCGATTGCAATCCATGGAGAAATGCGAGCAGTACCGCCCAAGAACCATGCGTATGATGATCGCGAACTCCATGCGGACTTCTTCACCATAATTGGTCGTGCTGCTGGTGACAAGGAGGCTATTACTACGCGTGTTGCTCCCGACTCGGATCCCCACACTCTCTATGACAACAGACACCTTGTGCTTCGAGGGGAGACTTCATCCTCTATCATCAAGGTTCGTGCTGCGACCCTTCGAGCTTTCCGAAAAGTGTTCGAGGAAAAGGGTATGCTAGAAGTCACGCCCCCATCGATGGTGCAAACTCAAGTCGAGGGAGGAAGCACCTTATTTGAATTCGACTACTATGGTGAAAAGGCCTACCTGACCCAATCCTCCCAATTGTATCTCGAAACCTGTCTTCCATCCCTTGGTGATGTATTCTGCGTCTGTCCATCCTTCCGTGCAGAGAAATCTCTCACCCGCCGCCATTTATCCGAGTACACTCATGTTGAAGCGGAACTCGACTTCATCAGCTTCACCGACTTGCTTGATCATCTAGAGGATATGATCTGCCGTGTTATTGACACCGTTCTTTCAGAGCCATTGATTGCGCGATATGTCAAGGAGCTCAACCCGAACTTCATACCACCATCACGCCCATTCAGGCGAATGAAATACGCCGAAGCAATCGAGTGGCTGCGTGAGCACGAGATCCTAAACGAACAAGGGAAACCACATACATTTGGCGATGATATTGCTGAAGCTGCAGAGCGGAAAATGACAGACATGTTGAACGTGCCAATCTTCCTTACTCATTTCCCCGTAGAGATTAAGGCGTTTTACATGAAAAAGGACCCTGAAGATTTACGCGTTACAGAGAGTGTGGACGTACTTATGCCAGGTGTTGGCGAGATTGTGGGGGGTAGTATGAGGATGGAGGACTGGGATGAGCTGATGGCGGCGTATAAACGGGAAGGGATGGATCCGTCGCCATATTATTGGTACACCGACCAGCGAAAGTAAGTTGTAGCGTTTTGCTATTTGTAAAACCCTTGTTGCCTACAGCTGCTCCTCTGTGCATGGCCTTTTTTCTTTTTTTCTTTTTTTTTTTTTTCCTTAGAAGTTTTTTCCAATCGTTGACTGAGCTTCCTTTCAACCCCTCGTGCTAACTTTTTACCCTTCCTAAACTAGATATGGAACCTCACCTCACGGTGGTTATGGCATTGGGCTTGAGCGATTCTTAGCATGGATGTGCGCGCGCTATACCGTTCGCGAATGCTGTCTCTATCCACGTTTTACGGGACGGTGCACGCCATAAACATTTACCCGGTTTGTGTTTTACTAGATCTCCTGAAAGCTATGAGATTTTAGATCATGCAAGTCGGATCTTCGTGCAAGTAGAAGAAACATGTGAAGCTGGTCGAGGCGAAGAAATAGAGAAATACTACCATTTATTAACAGCTTACTATAATATGAGCCTCTAGCTTATTTAGTCTACCCATCCTAGTCCCGCCATATACATGGCTAGATAGATAGAGCTTAGGTGCATGGAAATATATGAGCTCGTTCTTCACTTTTCCCTTTGGTGTCATCCATTTCGTTTCGTCGCACAAACTATAGTTCCCATTCCATATTTTCTAACAAGGCCCTAAGTCAATGTTAAAGAGGGAGGAGACAGTTCACCTCATATTTAATTTTCCTCTCCATCGTGGCATGGTATATGCGTGTTTAAGGTCCGAAAATACTCAATAACTTAGTACTCTTAGTTTTTGCCCTTTGGCGGGGTGTTGTAGGTAGGATTTTGCCGCGCGCCAGCGCTAAATTTGCAAAATTATTTTGAATTTTGTAGGCTCGGACCAGCTACCACAGAGTACAGTACTCCTCTCAGTGGCTTCTCTCAGTGAACTCACTCCTAGGGCTCATTCTTTCAAGGGCTCACTCCTAGGGCACACTCCTAGAATGTCTCTTGGCACTGTTTAATGTCCGGGGTATTTGTTTGGGATTTATATTCTTAAGTCCATCCTGGGATTGAACCCATGCATGTTGACCACAGCGGGGCTCACGCTTAACAGTCTCATAACCTGTAGGCTACTGGGGCAAAAGAGCTCAGTCACCACCAGCGCACTGCTGGTAGAAGGGTCGATCAACCCGGGACCCCCCAACAAATTTTTCGTTACCACTAGCGAGGGCGCGCTTATATCATTCTGGGATTGGCTGCAGGGGTCTCTCTAGCTCATTCACTAGTGATCGTCTGGCAATTCCCAAGAACCTGAATGTCAAGTCCCGAGAGCGCGGCTAGCCGGCGTTTAAACGCGCTTAATTTGAGCCTCATCTCCTGCCTGCCTGTGGTATTTCGGCAATACATCACCCTCAGCCCTGCCACTTATGATTACGTTCAACAGGAAAGTTCAGAGTTAGGCTGTGGAGGAATTGGGGCAGGAACCATCTCCTGGCTGGTTAGCTGGTCCGTTGCTGATTGACCAAAGAGGGTCCCCGCTGATGGTTTGCGAGAGCTCGGCGTCAATCTAACTATCAGGGACTGCAATTCGAAGCCATGTCGGAGCTACAGGGCTGCACGTCAGCAATTCTGTACCAAAATACCTCTAGGACAGTGACCTTGATCGATATTCCTACTTCCATTGTTGTCGCGCAGAGACTCGCAGAACATAACAGCAACAAATTGGAGCCTAGCACGTTCAAAGATGGTGGACCTATCTTACTCTCCTGCGACCCTTTGCAACATCCATATCCCAAACCACCAGAACCAAAATCGGAAAAGTCTCGCAATCGTATTTTAGCTCAAATACCAAGTTCTCAACAACGGTTTCATTCAGAAATTGTGCCAATTATAAGCAACGCCCTTCAGGAAATTCGGGAGCGCCATCACGCTAATTGGTGTCTCCCCAGACATACGCGTTTGTCTAACCACGTTGTACAGCAAGGTGATAGCGATCTCCACGAAAGAAACGAAGGTGTTGCAGAACTTGACCAGGAAGAACATCCTCCAAAGCGTAAGAGGAATGATCCAGATGCGGGAAGTCCAAGCGTGAACCTAGAAGAGCCAACTTTTATCTCTACAAATAAGGTACCTTCTCAGAGCTGTTGTTATTCTGCTCTCAATGAACCTCCTCTCATACTTTCGCCTGGCATCAATCAAGTTCCAGGTTTAGATGAAATCCAAGGCATAATTGTCCAAAACCCCACGCGTGTCCGGACCGTGCTGAATATCAAATCTGAACAGCAGCCATGCACTACTACTGGTAACGGATCTTTTCCTCCAGAATATATAACTGTCAACATTCCTCCGGAATCTACATTTATCAATTGTCATCTTACTCCACCAACGAAATCTCACCCTGGTCCCATTCCTGCGCTCTCGTCAGATACAAAATTCAACTTCATTCTCATGGACCCGCCGTGGCCGAACCGCTCAGTCCGCCGCTCCTCGCATTACAAAGAACACGCCGGGCCTCTTCAACCAATAATCGAGGGAACCCTACGAAATCATCTTCATCCACAGCAAGCCCTTGTCGCAATCTGGATTACGAATTCGTTAAAATCTCGTTTCGCTACGTTAAATGCCCTTGATGCGGCAGGCCTACACCCCTTTGAAGAATGGGTCTGGGTCAAAACCACCACTGACGGCCAGCCTGCATGGCCACTGGATGGACTATGGAGAAGGCCATACGAAGTGCTAATTTTGGCACACAGAGAGAAGCACGTCGCCGAGGACAACAACGGCGAAAGGCACACTAATTTTTGTGAAATAAGACGCAGGGTTATCGTCGCAGTTGCCGACATTCACTCCCGGAAACCAAACTTAAAGGAGTTGATTGAAAATATATTCTTCTCGTCGCCAGCGCAATCGTGCAACGGGACATCCAATGATGAGGAACGGCACCTTACTGGCAGATACTCTGGTCTGGAGGTTTTTGCTCGCAATTTAACTGCTGGATGGTGGGCATGCGGGAATGAAGTTATTCGATATAATTGGAAGGGTTGGTGGGCTGAGAAGAAGAATACAGAAAATGATGCTTAGCACATATTGATACCTTATTCGTCTCCCCGTGCATTGAAGGAGCAAGCGTCGTGCGAGCGTTTATATATATTAGTAGAGTAAAACATATATTGCGTGACGGGTAATTCATGAGGGAATTCATACCTGCTGTCTAGGAAACTCAAAACAAATATAATACTCCACATAGTATACATATAGAATACGACAAACCCGCCCTTTTTTCTTGTATATATCATCATATGTTGCAAACGTCTTGTCATTCCCATCTCGCAGGGTAAATCTGTATTAACCACCAAAGGCGTCTCGGACGAAGAAAACTTTAGACATTGCAGGCACATAGTTGAAGATCTGACACTTACTCAGCAGTCTATAGTGACAAATGTGTCAAATGAGTATTTTGAAGGTCTTTTTAGTGTAAAGGCATAAACACACATGAATTAACGTGATCAACCACTCAACGCCCGCTTACACCCAACACCCGCCATTTCGCCATCACTATGATGAAATATTTTCAACAATATCTCAACAATACAATTAGATTTTAAGGTGATATATTATATGATGAAAATATATATAGAAAATTACATATAAAAATATATAGCTAATTCTATAGATGTTTATTTAACTTAATAACTCACTCAGAATATGAAATCTTGAGTGAAGACAGATTTAGTAAGTAAGTAGTTATTAAATTAGTAAAGATTATATTATTATCAGATTTCTTTAATAGTGAATACATAAATATTCTGATAGAGCTCTGATAATATAATTTAATCACTCTTTATAAAATTAAGAATCTACTTTTCTGATTAGAAAGATGATTTTTAAATTCTTTAATTCTTTTCTTATTTAACTGTAATTACTGTTATACAGTAGCTTATTCTTTCTTCTCTTTTTACTCTTGAGTCTTTCTTACATCTCTAAGCTTCTTTTTAATCTAGTATTAAGCAGTTCTTATAGTCTTATTTATAGCTTTTTACTACTTTACTATCTGATAAGTTATTTCTTACTTTATTCTCTTCTTTATAATATTTATCTTCTTCTATGTAGCGGGCTAGGCCCGATTGATAGATTATTTCATTATACTTTATAGATTTCTGCTGAAAGCTCTGATTCTCAGGCGCTGATTCTCAGCCTGAAAGCTCTGATTCTCAGTCACTGATTCTTGACTGAGAAACTCACAGAGTTTCTATTCTCCTACTCTGAAGCTTATCTTGTACATGTATAAATATATACTCTGATCACTGATTTCTGCACTTTCTCTCTTTTTTCTTCTCTAACATTTTTCACATTTATTATATAAGATCTATATCTTAATACTGATCTATTCAGCATAGATCTCTTATACTTGAAAAATATTTATCATCTTCTTATTAGAAATAATTACTTATTGAGAAGATATCTGAATGTGTAATAATATGTAATAATAAGATAATAACTTATTACAGACTAGTTAAGCAGACACTGAATCTCTGCTAGATAGATAGAGACTTGCTTATCAGTTACTCTAGCTCTGTAACAAGATCTCATGAAGAGAATAAAATCTTAGAAAGAAAATATCAGTGAAAGATCTGAGAGTTCTAATATCTTAAATATATGAGATATTTATATAAATACACTTCTTCTAAAGAACTCTCAGATGCAGATACTATATATTCAAGAAATAATATAGCTATATCTACTGATAATATAAGTGAATTCTTAAACACAAGTATAGACACAGTGCTGCAGTGACTCTGAGTAATATTGAAATTATAATAACAACAGATAGCTGATATATATGTAAATTAATAATATTAATACAAAGAAATTCAATAATTAACTTAATAAGAAACTTCTGTATAGATAATTTCAACACTGACTGAATCAGAGATAGTGTAAATATTAAAGAAATGTCTAGATACTTCTGTATATTTTAATACTTTTAATCTCACTCTCTGCCTGTTATGAAGATTGAATATACTTATGAAACTAAGTGTAGATGAAGATATCATTGATTTATTAAGTAATCAAGATTAATATATCAATGATTGATTGAAAGATTGTATGAAACAAAAGTTTTATTTATAAATAAAGACATATAAATTAATATTATATACTTCTGATAACATTATTAAATATCTTGATATTCGGTTTAAAGACACTGCTATACTATGCAGCAGAAGACATTAGATTGATTACAGAGTATCTAATAGAGAAATACTTCTCTTATAACATTTATCTCTGACTTTAACACTAAAATTCTAGAAGTAGACAGTCAATCTTGAGAGAATTAAATGAAGATTAGCATGCTTAAGAATGCACTGACTTTTAAACTATTATAAGCTCTTATAAGTGTTAATAAAGCTCTGACTTATAAAGGCTTCTGTATACAACTCTGAACATTAAATAACTGTCTTATTAAGTTTAAAAGTATACAGAATAATAGCAGAAGATATTACATCTAAGTCACTTATACATCTATGTCAAAGAATAACATAGATGTTATGAATTGAGTAGACTTAAATATCTATACATAAGTAAGAGTCTTTACTGTCTGAATAGACTTTTAAGTCTCTGAAATCACCTCTGAAGAAGCGGCTGATTAACGTTAATAAGAAGTGTGTAGACTGACTGCTGAGACTATGAATTTTACATTTGATTTCATTTTATCTGATTCTATACA